TACTCAGAGAGATTAGCTGAGTGGCTAACGTAGGCATATTCCTCCCAGACCAAGACTTGACCGTCGATGACGGGAATATAATTTGCTTGGGAATAATCAGTAATATAGGCCGATGTTACTGCCAGAAGACAGAGTAAAAGCATTGGTAAAATTTGTGGTTGATTAATACATGTTCGAATTAGAGTTGCCCACCACCAATGGATATAAAAAATTAATGCCGAGCGGCTATAAGTAGTGAAAACTACTGGCTAAGGGTAATGAAAAAATGTAAAAAACCTATGCAAATTGGCTATAAATAATAAAAATGTAACTGAAAACTTATGCCAAGTGGCTACAAATGGAAAGAATGAAAACAAACCTCCGAGGGAACCGCAACTAGGCTCTTCTCGGGTTACCTGAGGTTGTCCTTGTGGACCACCCTCCCTTTAATTAGGACTTTGATCCCCAAGTCTGCCTCGATGGTATTCTCCTCACATAGAGGAGTGAGTTTGTTGTCTAGTTGTCTGTTTGACTTTACTAGGACTTTGTCACCGACCTGAAACACTCTATTCCGCCGAGAAGCGTTTTCTCGGTTTCTTGTCAAATTTTGGGCGTTTTTGATTTTTTCGTGGACATCACTTTGTGGATCGTCCGGATCAGCCCGCATGCCCTCGGCCGGTTTCTTGTTGATGACAGAGTGGATGGACTTGTTATATCTGGCTGTGGCCAGCAAGATCAATTCCACCACGTTGGGCGCCAATTATTATACTTGGTGGCTGCCGGGGGGATCCCTCGCCGCAGTCACTGATGTTTAGGCGGTTGGCCGTAGATAATCCGCAGCCCCTCGTATGGTAACGGGGAGTGGTGTCTTCTCTTGAAGAGTTATGTCGATTAGGTTGGGAAGATGACTGTCTTCCTAAAAAATAACGACGGAGGCCGGAGTAGGTTTTCGAGCTTGTGCTCTTTATTGATATTCAAAACGAACTGCTTAAGAGCTAACAAAGGAAAAGCTTCATAGCGGTCTCTGCCAATGTGTAGAGCTTCTGCCGGCTACGTAAGAGCTTCCGGCCAAACGCTTGATCAGCAATTTGACCGGTGCTGGAGTACGGACAATAAGTCCGGTTAACTTAGGTAACTTATATATATTGTACCTAAACCGATTGGACCGCTGCAGCACATGTATTGTCAAACATGGGTCTGCCTATATTTAAAAATAAACAACTCTTGAGCGTTAGAGATATAATAAAAATACCACGAACTCCTGCATGGGTTCATCGCTTAAACAACCAAGCGGTCGTATCGCATTTTCGTGTAGATAAGGAATGCGTGCAATGGAAAATTCCCGCACTTACAATCCGTTCCCATGTTTGGGGAACAAATGGCCACTGCGTTGGTCTAGTTAGAGATAAGATTAGAACATGTAAATTTCATATTAGCTACCTAAGCAGGATTTACAGAAAAAAAATTGAGTTTGAAATATGAACTCAACAAATTTAGTCGTTTGCTTATGTTGCAGCCTCTTTACAACTAAGCTTTAATTACAACAATAGGTAAAAATAATTTTCAGTTCAAACGGAGTCGAGTTTGTCGAGCTAAAACATTGTCTATATTCTTTTTAAACTTTGTGAACTTTACCCGAAAACAAATATGATAAAGTTCAAGAACAATGAAAATATTTGTGCGTCCCATTTAAAGCAAAATACGAAACTTCATCAAAAAATAAGGAAAAATCAGTAGAAACCATTGGAAAGGTGACGAAACAAGGCGGGACTTAAATATATAATATAATATATTTACAAGTAGATTAAGGATAAAGGAGTTTTAAAGGAAGTTAACAAGGAATCGACAGGCAAGCAGCCGCATAATAATTTTTAAAAGAAATGCTACAAACGATGGCTGTATTTCTTAGGACTGTAAAGACAAAGTAGTCTGCTACAAGTGTAACAAAAACTGACACATCTATAGTTTCATCTGCGATGAAAACAAACAAACCGTCCGCTGAGAAGGTGCTGCTAAGGTTCTGAAGGTTTAATCTGCGAAACTGATTTTAAAGTAAAGCAGTGAAGAAGCAGATGATTATTGAGATTAGATTACAGGATATAAGCCAATGAAATCCGTCGAATCCCCAGTAAGCATGAGGATTGTTCTATAGGACGATTTTTCTGTATATCAACTTCTAAGACGCACCTCGTACGAGAGCCCGTGTTTCATCGAGAAACAAGTGTAAGAATAGCTGGAGAGAGAATTATTGTGCCAAATTCCTCAGAGTAAACTTAACGAGTTTTGCCGGTAGCTAGGTAGGACGAATACGGACGATTTTGTTGAGACTATTCAAAAAATCAAGAAAGAAAATTTTCCGATGAGCTTAATTAAGCATGTTTTAGATAGGTGACAAGGTTTAAAAATATTCACAATTCTCGACACGAGAATTCGCTTTCGTGAATGAAGTCTTTCAGTTAGCTTGGAAGGTGGAGCAAACTAAACTTCCTTAGCTATACGACAAGATGATTAAAGCGGTCGTCAATTTTCCAAATTCCACAATGCAGACCTACTTTATTTAAAAATTACGCTCTAGCGTAGATGAGTAATGAAATAAATCTGAACTTTACTTCGAACTACTTAAAACAATTGCTAATATCTGCACCAGTTCTCAAACCGATCAGCTAGCAACAACCTAGATTTACACTGAATGCAAATACGGCTTTGGATGCATTCTAATGAAGGAAGAAACGGAGGATAAGCAGTTTCATTCCGTAGAGTTCATGAGCATAAAGACCAACGTCAGTGAAGAAAAATACCGTTCCTATGAGCTCCAGGTTTTAGCGATTTTATATGCTTTGACGAAATGGTGAGCTTGCCTTCTCGGTAATCAATTCACTATGGATACCGATTGCGTTGACCATAAAGAAGGATGACTTACCACTAAGAGTTGATCGGATGGCCCTGCAAAAGTTCGAATTCAGGAACTAAGATGGCGCACGTTGACGCATCAAGCTAACGGTCATGCTTTTTAATCGCATATTGGTCACTATTGGTTGACAATCGGATAAGATTGGATACATCTGTATTAATCATCAAAGGCGAAAACAATGATTATTTTTTTACAAATAATATTCTGTACAAGGACACAAGCTATTAGTTGTGCCAGAGTATATGGATGATATATTATAAAACACAAGGAGGGCCACTTCGGTATCTATAAAACTTTGGATATACTCGAATTTTCTTATTATATACCAGGGATACAGTAGTCAAAGAAAGTGTAGTTTACTTGCAAGGTTGTCGGAACCTATCACATCGGACGCCGTGAACCACTCAAGGATACGAATTAATAATATAACCACATTTTGGCTGTTGTGTATGGGTTGTGTATGGGTAGAAGTCGTGAAAAGATTTGGAAAAAAAGTAGCAGTATTTGGAAACCCTCGCGTCGATACTGATAGGCGTACCGATTTCGAATCAGGAATTTTCAAGTAATCCTGTTCCCGTGAGAGAATTCAGTTTCTGCATATAACCATCGGAATTCCAAAAGGCAATGGTCAGGTTAAACTTATCCACAAAATTATCATACCGATGCTGAGCAAAATGTGTATAGTATGGAACTGGGATGAAATTTCGCCCATATAAATTAAAAAAAAAAAAACGGGCGTTATGAAATGTTCCATAATATCTTTAAATAATAATAAATTTGTGAACTTTACAAAAAACAACAGAGATTCCTCGAGTATCAGATACTACTACAACAGAGGTTCCTCGAGTATCAGATACCCGTTAATCATCTAAGTTAATCAATCTTTTTGGGATATCGATAGAAATGGTCTACAAATAAAAATACTATTAAAAATAAGAGAGAATGCTATAGTCGATTCTTACGACTAGATACCAATAACTCAGTTAGTGGAAGTGTGAATAAGAAATTTCAACATTTTTTGGAATATCGGTAGAAATTGGTGAAAATATAATACAAATTTTGGGCGTGACAGTTTTGGGCGGCTTGTGGGCGTTGGGTGGGCGTAAAAAAAGTTGTTTGGCAAATATATAATAATAATAATAAATAAATAATATAAATATACAATATCGTTTGTACTAATTTGATATTAATTATTAAAAAGGGCTGTCAAACCAGTCAGTCCTCGTAACAAATGTACATATACAATATTGAAAAAATATCAAAACATATTAAAAAAGTGCGGGCGTGGCAACTGCGTCTATGTCTCTGCAACCTGCATGCCTAATCTCAAGCTACCAAGCTCTTATAGTTCCTGAGATCTCGACGTTCATACGGACGGACAGACAGACGGACGTGAATACCCGGACATTGCCAGATCGGCCCGGCTATTGATCCTGGTCAAGAATATATATACTTTATATGGTCGGAAACGTTTCCTTCTACCTGTTACATACTTTGCGACAAATCTGGTATACCCTTTTATTCTACAAATAACAGGAATACAAAACTGGTTCCGTTGTTTTGGTGTTTCATTTTTAATTAAGGTTTTTTTTCTTAATTATATAATTACTGCCTACCGAAGCTAAATTTTTTTCTTATTTTATTTTATTCTGTTTGCATGCACGAAATTTGAATATATTTTTTACTTATTTATTTCATTATTTTTCATGCCCATTTTTATCAATAGTCCAAAGAAAAGATTGACCACGTCCGCTCAACAATAAATGTAACCGCTACATGTTGCGATAGTGAGTAATCTCATAAAGAGTATTTTCTAATTTATTTTTTGTAAGTCACCATTTCCCTCGCACTGCCACTAGCTGAATATCAGAATGACGAGGAATACGATTATAGCGTTCTTTCTTGTTTTTTAATTGCAATTTTGGTTTACAAATACCATTTTATAATACGTTCCAAGATCTAATGCAATGTACGGTTTATAAAAATAAAGAATTTTGATGAATATTGTATATCTAAAAATAAATCGTGAGTATTTTTCTGGCTTGTGGATAAAATTATCTTTGAGTTACATGACATACGAAATATTTATGTACGCTTTTTTATTTGGTTTCAATTATTGTTTTTGTTTCAACAAAAATAGTTGCAGGGCTATCATCGTGTTAAATCTAAATGTTCTTCAATGTTGAGATGCATCCACAAAAGTCACATAGCCCACATGTGTTTTAATCGCGTCAATACCAAGTTTATTCCTCGTCTTCAATTGTTTTTTTTTTAGATTTTTATTAACAAAGTGTTAATTTTTTCATTCTTTGAGATTAAGCCAAAAAAGCTGATAAAATGAGCGTAAGTTAAACGCCAAGAAATTTATTGCAAGTAAATGTTTCCAAGTTTCCTTAAGTTAAAATCTCTCGGATTTTCAGACTTTTATTAACTGTTTTTAAAGACTGTTTTCCGGAGTAATATTTTGAGTAAATATCTTTAACCTTTTCAGAGGATATCTGACCTAATGTTTTTGAGCGTGCAAACTGTAGGCAACGTGTCATCCAGATTCGTATACTCAAAGAAAAAATAATAACAAAAGTGAGCGAAAAACTAATCGAACTAAAGTTTTATATTTTGCGTTCTTGAATTCACGCAAAAAGTCTCCTTAATTTAAAGACTTTTAATAAAAAATAATTAAAAGGCTTCCTCTCCTTATTTATGATCTGTAAAGTCTTAAATCCTTAAATCTTCAAAAGTACTCATCTTAGTTTATACATACAAACTAATGGTCCACTATTTGCAAAGCCTAGCCTAAGAAAGAACACTGTAAATTTGCAACGGAAATTATGAAATTTCGAGCTATTATCAATATATCCGTTTTGTTTGGTTTCCGTTTTGTTTTTTAGGTACTGGTATCTTTGTTATTTTTTATGTTTAACAACAAATGCATTCAGCTGGAGAATCTTAATAAATGAAAAAGCACTGGAAAAACTAGTGCAGATCATACCTTCAAGATAACAAAGACCTGGTAAAAAATTTTCTGACCACAAATTAATTTACATTTATAAATACCTTCTCTAAAAAAACTGACTTCGGAAGATGTTTAATTTTTTGTATACCGTAAAAATTTTGAAATCCTAGTTATACCTGTTACCCGTAGAGTAAAACGGTATACTAAATTCGTTGAAAAGTATGTAACAGGCAGAAGGAAGCGTTTCCGTCTATATAAAGTATATATATTCTTGATTAGGATCAATAGCCGAGTCCATCTGTCCGCCCATTCGTCCGTCTGTCTGTTCGTCCGTCGAATTCTCTTGAACTATAGAAGCTAGAAAGTTGAGATATTTTAGTTTAGTTTGAAATTAGCCTTGCAGATTCCTTCGGTTCCGATGCATCTTTTTAAATTTGAATCAGTATACCATATCAAGTTTTTTGATTCTTTTAATAGTATCATTTGACATTCCAGTTTCAATCGATACGTACACAAGCCGTGACAGCCACGGCTACGATTTTAAAAATGTTTGGATGTTTATAATTTATTATTATTATTTTTGCAAATAACTTTTCGGTCACTCTCACTCTATAGCCCACAAGCACGCAGAAACTGCCACGCCTTACAGAAATGTTTGATTTTTTTTTATTTTTATTAGACTTAACCTCTTGTTTAAAACTCTACCCAATTCTCGTCGCTGGATCCATCGTTTCTAAACTTGAATAAGAAAAATGTTGAAGTTTAAAAGTTTACTATACTGCTTTTAGGGAGGGATCCCTATAACATTTACGCAATCGGTGGTTTTGCCGTTTTTTTGCTTAGTAGGGAGAAGTTTAAGGATCAGCGTAAACTTCTATACTAGACATAAACATACATGGGTGGGGGTACACATCCGTTTCCCTCTAACAATCAATCGACTGGGGTCAACGCTTTTATTTTATAGTCGGATTTGTTTTAGAAGTAAAACATACCTGAATTCATTTCGTATGTATGTGAAACATTTATGTGCACATTATTAACTTTTAAAATAACACCACTCAAATTACCGATGATCAGTTTAGCTGCATTCTGATAACATAATATGGATCAGATCGGTTCAAAATGTCAAGTGCAACAGTTCCAATTATTTTTTTTTCGGTTCGAACCCTTTACTGCGATATAATTTTAAAACGATCTAGAAAACATATATAAACTAAAACTAAATAATTTATAAATACCTTACCACATTTAAAAAGATGCCATAGTAACAGTCGTATCTCTTTCTAGCCGTATGCCCGTTTCTATGCAAACTAGTCTCACATTTCCGCATTGAACTCTCCCAAAAGGCTTACTTTTATTTATAAAAGTCGGGGCGGGTCGGACCCGTATTCTTAGGAAAATTATTCCTAAAAATACTATGTTTTTTTTTATCTTATAAGGCTCTTATTTGGTAAACGACAGTTATTTTATCCAAATGGGAAGACTATATAATATAGCTGTCATAGTCGGAAAATAATTTAACATAATAGAAATGAAAACATATCGATAAAAATTTGGAACACAAATAAAAAAATGAAAAGTTGATGAGACAGTTTTATGCGGTTTTTGGACGCAACGACTCGCTAAAAAGAGGAAATAGTGAAATATTACTTATTAGGTGGGAAAACTTAGACCATACAGTATAAAAAGCCTCAGTCCACTAAAAAGCAGGGGGACTAAAGATACAAGTGCCGAACGGACTCAGTCTCTCGCAGAGACAGAAGATTTTAAGTCCAGAGAGGACACAGTCTCTCAGATCCAGAAAAATATTCTGGGATTCAAGATGATTCGAGTCGGCAGGACCAGGAGAAATCCCCACGGGGGACAAGAAAATCCGGGACTGGATTGCAAGGTGAACGCAAAAGCACACACCGCGAAGGAACACCCGCATTTCGAACGACTAAATAAAACGACTAAATAAAGTAAGATAAAAATATGGGCAGCAAGCAATCCAAGGCGTCCGACAAAACTGCCAATGGGATCAACACCGTGGAGGTGATATACCACAAGAAGTCCGCCTAACAAACATGAGGAGTGTAGTGACATAAATATAAACTAGCAAATTAAATATTGCACCTATTTAATAAATATAAATAGAAAATAGTGTACCTATGCAGTTTTAAATGCGGGCTAAAATAAATTAAAAAGAAAAAAATACCCAAATCAAGTTCAGTAGTAATTGGAGAAACAGATAGTGTTCCCGCAGTGAAAATATATGCATATACACAATATTCACTTTATTTTTGTTTATGTCCACAACGTTCTTCTCTATGACATGTTGGACTACGTATATATATTATGTATGTATATTTTCAATTTAATCCAGATCGTCGAGATCTGATCGCATAGGATTAGATTGGGGTAAGTTTGACGGAACACAGTTCCCCGTTTTTTTTATTAACTTTTTTCACAAATATATTCTCGTGCCAACTTTATTTCATCTAACGTACAACATACCTTGTAACAGCATTAACGAGAGTGCATTAGGCATAAAAGGGATATTATTCGAAACATCCTCCAGACAATTAAAGTTTACTGATTAAAATTAATGTTTAACAATTAATATTTTTAGAAATAAAATTAACTTTTCAGCGGCGAGTATCAGTTTTGTTTTTGTATGCACAAATACCCAAGACACAAGCCATCAATATTAATCAATATTAATCAATGAAAATCAAAAAGAAAAACTACGACGCAAGAAGTGGAGTAGGTAAAATATATAATGTCAAATTTGGATTTTTCCTTTTCCAGGATCGACGTAACACTTTTTCTTCTACCTGTTATCTGATTAACGTGTATAAAAACATGTTTTAAAATTCAATAGAAGCTAAATATCTAATCTCAACTTTGTAGCTATTATGGACCCAAGATCCAGTTCGTACAAACAGAACAGACATACATACATACATATATTGGTGATCGCGGTCGATCAACATCCATTATTCGTTATTCGTAGAGTAAAGTTGAAAAGTATGTAACAGGCAGAAGGAAGCATTTTCGAGTAAGTTATATATATATATACTTGATCAATAGCCGAGTCGATCTGGTCATGTCCGACTCTCCGTCCGTCTGTCCGTCCGTCTTTCCGCTCGTATGAACGTCGAGACTTCAGGAACTATAAAAGCTAGAAAGTTGAGATTAGGTATGCAGATTCCAGACTCCTGTGTCTATGTGCCATACTTTTGAAGAATGTTTTGATATTTTTTAATTTTTTTATTAGTTTTTTAAATTTGTATCGATTTTTCAATACATCGATTTGTATCGTTAACGCGTAAAGTTAACGCGTTGTAACGCGTTCGTTAGTTTCCTATTACTCCAACCCATACTGCTCGTAGACTTTACCTAATGTCTTCTGCAACTTCTTCGGTCATGATTTTCAATATATATTCTCGTCGCGCTGCTGTTCGGATAATAGACCGTTTTGGGTAATATTTACCACGTCAATCGTACTTCCATATCATTGTTTGCATTTGTCTGCTCTACTACAGCGACGGGATTCCTTAATAAGTAAGCATCATGAGATATTAGGCTCCCCTTCGAAAACTCCCCTTCTACCTGAAACTCAAAGGACTGCATGATTGACCACTATCGATACAATCGCCGTTATGAATTACGCCTTGTCCCGACTTTTCTTAAGGGAATCACAGTCTGTATACATGGCTTTAAGCACCCCAATGTTTCGATCTTATATGAGTGATATTTAAATTCCGCTAACGTGGTGCATTTGCTGTAATACTCGACTAACCTGCGTTTGCCTTCTACCTTGTGCAATAACATAGCACTATAACCATTTGCACTTGCATCCGATTGTAACTAAACTGAAAATTTGGGTTCGAAAATAATTAATACTGTATCACCACTTGCATTCATTTGATTTCCAAGTTACTTTCCATTACTTTCGAAAATCAAGGAACAAACATATGTAAAGTAGGATGCTAGTCCTATAAACAGCCTAATCTGTGTTCTTGAAGCTGGTTTCGGAAGATAAGAAATTGGTTCGATTTTTCGGGGGTTGAGCTTCAGTTCACCCTCCTCTATAACAAAACCCAAGTCTTTATCTCTTTCTGCAGAAATTACCATTTTTGTATAATACATTAAAAGATAACTCTGACATTCAAAGCACGCTCAGCACCTTCTCCAATCTCTCGTACGCTTCCTCTTTGAGGAATTTTAGACAATCTATCTAGACCACTACATAGGCGTTAACAATATTTCCCAAGACTTGGACTATGGCACTATAAAAAACAGATGACGCGTTCCTTAATCCAAGTGGCATTGCTAAAAATTCATATTGACCCTCGGGGTGAATTGGCTCCTAATAAAAGCCGCAGACTAAGCTGAAACAATATTT